GAAGAGCGTAAGAATACAGCTCCCACAGACAATGGACTCCTCATTGACACTTCCTTCACAAACAGTAAGAGTTTTGCAGGCTGAAATCCAAGCAACGATTTTCCAACAGCTCTTAAAAGCACAGAATAACTGCCAGGGAGGAAAATGTAGATGCCTAAGCTACAGCGCCATTTTCTGTAACACAGGATCTAACACATCTGCACAGGCCTCTTACCTATGGAATACTTGACCTCCTGGAGTGAAACCAAAAGTCTAAAACATCATTGAATGCCTATCTTTAGGCACCTGAATTGCTGCCATAATCAGACCCACAAATTAGTTTCTGGATAATATCAACTTTCCTAAAGGTTCAAAAGAACAGAGGTTTGGTTTTTTTAAAATCTGAAAGAAAGAAGCTCAAGAATAGATTATGCAGCTTTCTATTTCATCTTGAGCTAAAAACATTGTGACAGAAGATGGCAGTAGCAACACAGAATACATAGAAAAATTAAATCTATAAAATATTGAAAGCTGTGATAAATTGAACTGCATCTATACCATTTCTCAGATTCCATCAGCTGCTTTGGCCTGTTTCTTGTGCTTACTGAAACGGAATGATTAAGAAGCCTAGAAAGAAAAAAAATAAGCATTTATTCAACAGCTTTGTAGTTCAGCCTTTTTCTTAGAATATATATTGCTTTCACTGTGTAACATTTCCTGTAAATAAAAAGTTTTGAACATTAAGCATTTTCCCTAAAATCAGAGTGTGTGTACACAAATGAAATCCAAGCCCCATTCTGCTTCCATTTAAATCCACAATATTGTTTCCAGCTCTTGAAATATTCCAAATTCTGAATTTTAAGTAAATAAAACTTGATGATAATTCAAACCAAAAGGAAGCCTCACCTTTCTCTTCCCCCTAAATACACACCATTTAAACTGGTATCACACCTGTGTAAAGTTATGCTGCCCTCATCACAAAAGGCCCCACTGTTCACCAAAATTAGACGACAGTCAACTGAAAGCAGACAAGCAGCGATACACAGATTGAGCACCCGTCAGTCAGCAGGAGCAGGTCAGAGGGTGGCTGAGTAAGAAACACTGCAAGTGCAAAGGAAACGCAGGGAAAAAAGGAGAGGTGGAAAATGAAGAAACACAGGCTAAGAACTAAATGAAGTCTAACGCAGAAATGAAGCAATGGAAATTTCATTTGTCTAAACAGCAAACCACCAAAAAAGCCTAAACTTACATAGAGACTCATGCAGAAATGTTTCTTCATCTGGAACAATCACATACCACATGTGCACAGGCAGAAATAAGATATGAGCTATGTATGATGGATGTTTAAAGTGTTAAAAGAATCAATGAGTAACACTTGAAATGTTTTCAAGGAAGTGTCATGTTAAACATGAACTCTAATGAATAATTCTGAAGTTTTGGAGTTATTAATATTACACTTCCACACTGACTTCAGGTGCAGAACTGCGATCAAAGTATATTTACACTGGATTATATAGAGAACTAGAATGTATTAAGAATCAGAAAGAATTCAGCTATCCAATGGAAGAAAGTAAAACAGCAGGCACCTTTTTATATTTCATTATCATTACACAGGACAGCAGTACAACCATTAACTTTAAATGACTGATGATTTTTCAATCAGCCTTCTCCGATTATTGTGATAACTTTAAGCTCAGTAATCTCATTTGTACTTTAAATCTCTCACTGTATGAACCTCAATTTAATGGGATTATGAGAAGTTAAGCCTGTAAACCAACACAGTCTGCAGGATTCGCAGTCTGCAACATCTGTTCCCTACATTCTGTCTTCAGAAACTAAACTTTGAGGGTCCATGCTATACTATGTTATACTATAGTCTGAAAAAGGTGTTATAAAATATAATATTCAGAGCATAGGTTATCAAACCATAATATGAACACGCTGTTTAAAATTTTTAGAAATTGTTCCCATTTAAATTAGCCTCACGTCTTCAACTGAAAGCAATGGGAAATTCAGACACTTGGTAGCAAGACGTGATCATTACAACAGAACGAGCTTTTAAAAGCTGAAAAACTGAAATATGAATCACCTGTACACTCTGATGCAGCGCTTGCACCAAAACTGACACTATGAGTGTACATTCAGTAACTGTATGTAACTACTCAAAACCATTCAAGCTAATCAGAACATTCATACATGTGCACTTTTCAGCTACGCTGTTTATATGAAACATGTATATCATTAATGTTTATGTTTATTATAAACTAAGTTTGTTATAAACAAAGCATATTTTCATACTTTGCAAAGCGAAACTAAACAAGCAGTAACTTCTCAAACTTCCTGTTTAAAAATTGAAGAATATGAATGGGGAAGCAACAGCAAGCTCTGTATCTGCCATGTTAGCAGTTACTGCTCCCATCAGAGAGATCTGCATTTCCTGCGGAATAAGGAACTTAATAGTTTTTAGTTTAAAAAAGAAGTGACAAAAATTAATCTGACTTTACTAAATTGCAGACGAAGGAATTCATGGCAAAATAATTTGTTTAGCTGGAAGAGGAAATGAAAAAGAAAAATCCCTGTATTCACGTTGAGAACTGTCTTCCAGGAAATAAAATGCAAAACTGAGTATGCAAAAAGAAAGTACAAGTAGCTCATATTCAGAAATCAGAAGTTTGTTTGTTTTGAAGTGTGGTGTCATTGGTGTAAAGATTCCAGCAACTGCTTCCATTCATACTATAACTCATTAAATTCAAATTTGTAATAATTAGAGCAATTATCAGGCCAATTACTTACTGATGGTCACACTAAATAGCTAAGTAAGAACTTACATAAGACACCCGTGTTAGTACTCCAAATGATTTCCTACTTATGGTTTCTACTAACCACACAAATTGTGATGTTAGAGGTAGCACATAAACTATTACTGTGAAAGGGTTCTAAAACTCATACAATTTTGAAATGTAAGTTACTCAACAGAACATATACAAATTTATATATAAATTAACTCAAAAAACAACACTGTGACTCATTTTTCTAGTTTTATATCACAGAATCCCAGAACGTCAGGGATGGGAAGGGACCTCCAAAGCTCATCCAGTCCAATCCCCCTGCCGGAGCAGGAACACCCAGATGAGGTTACACAGGAAGGCGTCCAGGTGGGTTTTGAATGTCTGCAGAGAAGGAGACTCCACAACCTCTCTGGGCAGCCTGGGCCAGGGCTCTGTCACCCTCACTGAGAAGAAGTTTCTTCTCCAATTGAAGTGGAACCTCCTGTGTTCCAGCTTGTGTCCGTTTGTGTCCTGCAAGCATAACATCTACTCCAAACTGGTGACTACAGGGGACAGAAAGGCTACGACAATGATGATATTGGAAAACTTTTTCTCAAGTCTGAGAATTTTAAAAAGTGGAGTATCTTCTCAGTTAGTTACACTTTCATGTCCTGAGCAAACGTAACACCATGATTAAGGGACGCAAACGTAGTGAATGATTGCAATGCTATTTTAAGGCTGGCTATCTTGAAGTTTAAAAAAATCAAGCACTGCCTAGAATCAGTAAAGTGTATAAAGATACTAGAAATCTTCTAGTGAGAGAAAAAAAATGATGGGATTTTTTCAACTCACCCAGGAGCAGTCTACTGTCATCGCATATGGCTCTGCTTGGTGACAGTGAGCTGTGCTTTGAGGGGTTTAGTTTTAGGAAGTCACTGCTGTCAGGTAAGAACCCACACTTAAATTTGATGCAAGCTGAAACGGGATCATTTGGTACTAAAGCAGATTAAATCATCTAAGCTATCCTACTTCCTTTTGAAAAAGACAAGGACTACGCAGAGTAAGTTGCAGAGTTTCAGCTGATAAGGTAACAGTCTGAAATCACTTGATTCATCACCTAGATGCCTGAGCAGAATTTACACAGCCCATCCCACATTTCTTGGTACCTGTCAGGTTTGTGTATCTGCACATGCTTCCCTCATGGTTGTCAAATGCAAATACATTGTCACTGGTCATGATAATTTGAAAGTGATCATTTTAAAACCAAGGTCTCTTAAACAAGAAAAAAACCAACCCCTTTTGTCTGAGGTTCTATACTTGAGGTTCTACATATTAAAAAAATCCCAAAACAACAAAAAAGACCAAAAAACTGAAGAGAAAGCATACCAAAGATACAGATCATGCTTCCAGGTTTGGATTCATTTAGATGTTCTTTGGAGAGTTCCCTAATTAAGTATTTTCCTTAAATAGTATTTGATCTTAAAGAAAAATAAATGCTCTGCAATCTACTTTCGATAACAAAATACCCTAAGTCTAACTTAGCCAAACCCTTTATTCTGTTTTTGTTCAAGAAATGGCCCAAACTCTTTTTGTCCACATTTTAACTTTGGAAGCTCTACAAACACTTTATACCTTGATGCACGTCCTGCCGCCCTTGTCCTCTGGAAGAGTTTTTCACTGAATGAAGTTCTATAGCTTAATGGCCTTCGTCTGTATTCACATTTCATGTACACCAAAGCCAAAGACGGAAGAAGGAAGCAGGATAGGTTGATGGGAGAGGACAGGGAGGTCATTAGCACAGCAAGCAAAAAGAAAGGACACTGCATAATATTTGAAGAAAAAACACACTGAACAAACAGAAATACAATCAGTAAGAAATTATTTTGTGATGCTCACTTTTCTGGAGATTCTCTTTACTCAGATTGAACACATTTTCCACAAATAAGCACAGAAATATCTTCACTAAACTTCTCAATATTATTCTTATTGCTGTCTATGGCAAGAAATCAAATTCACAAAACTATGGATTCAAAAATTATGGCTATATTTTATATCAGAGGTGATTTTGCCCTCATGTACTTAAAGATACGTAAGCAAGCTTTAAATTACAAATGCTAAACGAAGAAGTAAAACTTAACAGCTAATAAGACTGCATGTGTCTGAACAATTCAAGAGCAAAGCAGAACCATTAGCAAGATTGTTGCATTTCGATACAACAACACATGGGTAAAATTAAAGTTGCAGTACTTCAGAACAGGAGTGACTTGGTATTTCAAATGATCAGACAGTAATAAACTAGTCAAACAAGACCCACATGCAATATAAATAAGCACCATATAAAAACCTAATATAAGAAAAAACATACTTATGCAATCTTTATTAATAAATTAATATGAGAAAATTTAGCGTGCTTAAGTCTTTTTGCAAAACTTTTGGTAATAAGAAAGTATTATCATTAAGATTCATTCTTGGTCTTCCCTTCTCAGTGTGAACAATCAATTCTGAAATACACTGCATGGAGTTATAAGTAAAAGCTATTTAATCCTTCCCCTCCCTCCCCTCTCTCCATACTGCTATTATATTTAACTAACATAAAATGCCAGTGAATTTTTAAAGCTCTGCACTTCATAGTGTCAGGATATCAGTTTCTCTAATGGCTTCATGTGCTTTTCAACTATCTTAAAACAAAACCAGCAGTGCAGAATCTCATCATTACACAGAAAGTCAAAAGAAAAACGGTATTTAAGCTGGTATGAAGTTTAATGCCCTTACTGTGGGATAATGAATGCCTGTAATGATTTATTTTAGTCCATGAACTTCTTAAACTACAACTTTTACCTTTCAGGAAAGAGCTTACTCTTGTCAAAGTACCTCACTGGTCATTTGCCTGAACCAGAGAGAGCTCAACTCCTACGCTATAGCCTGTCCACATCCTATGCAAATCTGGGTACTCCCTCCTGGTCTCCCTTTCACACGGTTGTTAACTTGTTCTGTTACGTTCCTTTCATCTGCTGCTTGTCCTACAGCTCCTTTCTAAGAGCCATTCTGTTGTGATGCCCAACATCAACTGGAGAAAGTCAGGTAGTTCATCAGGATGAACATACACTGCTCCAATTATTTATTTTTGTATATATTTATAATATGTATGGTGTCATATTTGACAGAATGCTTGACCAAATCTCCCCCTCAGTCAACAGGAAATTTATACCTCACATCAGACTGGCTGGAAGTAATATCACCTAAATTACCTCATCTTTCAACAGAAATAATCAGTCACAAAGTATATGCATGTTCCCTAACTCATACAAACTAAACCAGTCATTTTAACACACCACAAATAATATACTTACATGAGCGTTACCCATGCCTACTTAAGTATACCACTTTGGAAAAAAAAAGTATTAAAAAAATTAGCACACATTAAACCAAGAAATCAAGAGACTTCCATATTCCTCTCTTCCTCTCCACAGGAGGTATATCACTGCTTCTCTGGTATCTTGAAAGAGTCTGTCACTTTAACGTTTTACAAGCTGCACAAAACTGTTCTCAAAATGATAAGGTATCAAGAACTTTTGTATACAAGCCAGGTTAAAGGATATATTAATTGTAACACAAGTTATCTTAACTAATATTGTAATACCTGTGTTTTTGTTCTTGCTGCAGTAACTGAGCTGCTATTTTTCTCAAGTCAGTCACTTCTTTGAGACCATCATCATCTTCAGCCAGCAGCCGTTCTTTCTGAAGTCTGAAAAATTCAACATCAGTGACTTGCGTGACTTCAGTAAAGTAGCACAGAGAAATGGCTACAGTACTGGAAAATAACTAAGAAGCATTTCCAATAAGCTTGTTTTCTGTTCAGGAAGAAGCACTTTGTGTTCAGTATGAGATTTCTTTCCTCCATATGCAAGGAGCTTAAAATGAAACCACCCTCACCCCTCACTGTCAGTAAAATCTTGCCCAAAAAAGATCAAGAACATTTACCTTTTTTCATCTCCCCAGTCCTCGTTCTGTTCTATTTTCTGGGATTTCTCAGGATGTTTTCCACGTTCCTTACGCAGAATGAAAAATAAAGTTAGACTTGAATTCAAAAATAAGCAAGTCTGCTGCCAACAGTTTTTCCTTTGTCAAGATTTGCTACCTTTATATAAGACAGCAGCGGTCCAATCTGTACATCTCCTTGCTCAGGAACAGCTCCTTCTTCTGCATTCGGATCAATGTAATCGTATACCTCCTGGTCTAGTGAGGATTGATGAAGAAGGAAAAAAAATGATATTTAACAGCTCTCTCGACCAAAAGTTATTCCTGAGAGAAATAAGTACTGAAAAATGTCAGATAAAGAGAAAAAAATCATTTCTCCTTGAGCTAGAATCACAGAACGTTAGAGATTGGAAGGGACCTCAAAAGCTCATCCAGTCCAATCCCCCTGCCGGAGCAGGAACACCCAGATGAGGTTACACAGGAAGGCGTCCAGGCGGGTTTTGAATGTCTGCAGAGAAGGAGACTCCACAACCTCTCTGGGCAGCCTGGGCCAGGGCTCTGGCACCCTCACTGAGAAGAAGTTTCTTCTCCAATTTCAGTGGAACCTCCTGTGTTCCAGTTTGTGTCCGTTACCCCTTGTCCTATCATTGTTTGTCACCGAGAAGAGCCTGGCTCCATCCTCGTGACACTCACCCTTTAAATATTTATAAACATGAATGAGGTCTCCCCTCAGTCTCCTCTTCTGCAAACTAAAGAGACCCAGCTCCCTCAGCCGCTCCTCATAAGGGAGATGCTCCACTCCCTTGATCATCTTTGTA